TGTGTGTTTTCAAATTTGCATTCTTCTATCAATAATCATACTTGTCATATGTTACCAAATATTTTTAAAATGTCTCTTTCCTTCTTCTTCTTTTTTTTATTTTTATTTTTTTTTAAATTTTATTTATTTATTTACTATCTAAATGATACTTGTCTTATTTGCTGCAAAGGAAACTATCTCCTTTAGTGGGTGCATGACTCAGCTCTATGCAGAATATTTCTTTGGGGGAGTTGAGATCATCCTGCTCACAGTGATGCCCTGAGACCACTTTGTGGACATCTGCAAGCCCCTGCACTACATGATCACAATGAACAGGTATGTTTGTTGCCTCCTGGTGTCTGTGGCCTGGCTGGAGGATTTTTACATGGTCTGATTTAAGCTCTTTTCATGGTCTTTTTTCCCTTCTGTGGCCCAAATGTTATTGATCATTTCAACTGTGACCCTTTTCCCCTCCTGAAACTCTCCTGCAAAGACTCTCATATCTTTGGCTCTTGGTTGCTGCCAACAGTGGGCTGATGTGCATCCTCATTTTTGCTCTTCCTATCATCTCCCACATTCTCATCCTTTGTTCCCTAAAGACTTGCAGCCAGGAAGAACGGAGGAAAGCTCTCTCCACCTGTGCCTCCCACATTGCTGTAGTCATCCTCTTCTTTGTATCCTATTTGTGTGCTTTCAGCTCATGGTCACCTTTCCCATTGACAAAGTGGAGGCTGTGTTTTATACTATGGTGAAACTCTGGGTAGTTCCATTTACCTTTAATATATACCCTCAGAAACACAGAGGTGAAAAATTCCATGATGATGCTCTGAGGCCAAAGAATCATCTTGGAGAATGATTCAAATGAAAAGGGAATATAAAAACAAAACCTACTCACATTTAACATGAAAGATGAGTATTTGATTAAATGATTACTAAGGTGTTTCCTATTAGAAACACCCTGAAATTTACAAATTAGTCACCAAAGGAAAGCACATTGCTAACTAGCATAAAAAATGTTTTCACATAAATTCTATTAATTTATGTACCTAATATGACAATTTTGAGCAAAATTTGGGTACTCTATATAAACCAATAGGCCAAGTAATTACAATATTTTAAAAAATGGACCTAACTTTAAAAATTGTGTTGAAAAAAGTATAATTTTGATTATAACTACTGAAATTCAGGTTATCACTATGAAAGATGGAGGATAAACAGAAATGAATTGGTTTTGAGGAATATGAGTCACTGAGGCAGGATTAACCCAGGAATTAAGACTGCTGTGCTGCACAATTCCAGGTGGTTTCATTTACCTTAAAATGTTGATCTTTCCAGAATAAACTATTGTCTCTGTTGAAATTCATGGGGGGGGGTATAAAATTCTTCCAATTATAATCATAAAGAAATTTTGGACATCATTTCTCAAATAGAAGATATTTCATGAGGTGCTTTCCTACACACCATGTCACCTCTTAAAAACTTCTTTGGGTTGTACTTGTACCTTGGCTAAGAAGGACAAAAGCAGGTGACACACAAGAAAATGATGATATCTGAGTAATCAAGGAAGTACACTCAGCACATTCAAATTTGAGTAGAGAATTGCAGACAAACAGTATGAAAGTAATTTCAGTTGTCCACAAAATATAATTTTAAGAAAAGGAGCTCAGATTTATAAAGAAAGAAGAAAAATATTGAGGTCTAGTCCAGGACACAAGTCTTGCAAATCTTCTCAACACCACTTCTATTGTTATAAAAAATAAAGCCTAAAGAATCCTTGGCCATCCTACATCTTTTATTAAATATATATTATTTCCACCCTCTCTCTCTGTCTCTCTCTCTCTCTCTCTCTCTCTCTCTCTCTCTCTCTATATATATATATATATATATATATATATAGATAGATAGATAGATATATTCCATCTATATCCCATAAGTTTTCCTTGAATCTCAGAAGATTATGCTTGCTACTTAACAGGAAAGTAGAAAACAGAACAACATCATTCTTTAAATCATAAGTTTCTTCATGAACAATTGTATCAAGTTTCTAACCAGAAGACAGAAGAATAAGATTTTCTACTCCCTTTGTCATCTCATAAACATCACTTGAAAAACTTAGATTCAGCCTCAGGCCTGTTCCCAGCATCTGTGGACACGGCTGGTATAGGGCCACTCCCTCCTCTACAGAAAATCTTAGCTAAGCTTCTCCAGAAATCTTCACCATAATTGACTTTAGGACTATCAGCAAAAGAATATCTACAAAAGAGTTCAATGTAGGTAAACTTCATATCTTCCTGTTGCTCTATTTTACTTGGCCACTGGCTGGAAGACATCAGTACTCCAGGTGTTGAATGCCCCTGTACTAGTTTTCCACAAACATTTATCCAGTATGGTAGTATGTAAAAGTGTGTTTGCAAATGCAAAATGTGATTAAAAAAAAAAGACAGATCCTTTAGCAAGGCCTCTGGCTTTGAGCTCGAGCTTCATAGAGATGTCTACATTTCCAAGATAAGAGGAATCTCTGATAACAGAGAGCTGGCAGGGGAAGGAAAGAAATGGGAGAAGAAGCTCTCCCCTTCTCAGGTGTTGTCCTTGAAGGGTTAACTTGCCCAGAACAGTGAAAGAGAAAAGCTGCTTTTATGTGTGAACTTCTGCAGAATGTGAACTTCTGAGCCCCTCCCCATACTTGCTGGGTATAAAGTTCTGAAACCACCTGAACTCAGGGTTCAAGGGATTAGTTGATTACAGCAAAAGCTGTTCTCTCTGAACCTGGCTGCAGCCAAATAAAACTGTTTCCTGCTCTCTTCAGTGCCTTGCCTTGTCAGTCCCTAAAACACTGGTGGAAATGAGTCAGCTGCAATGGAAAACAGAAAAAAAGATCCTTTAACTGCTTTAAAAATCAAACTACTATTTGATGCACAAACTTCAATTCTGAGCATTTATACAAAAAATTACAATCAGATTGCAACTTTCTTAAAGTCTAAAATGATTTCAAAATTAAAGACAAGCAAGACATGGTGGTGCACATCTGTGATCCCAGCAACTGGGGAGGCTGAGGCAGAAGATCACAGGTTCAAGGCCAGCCTCAGCAGCTTAGCCTGGCCCCAAGCAACTTAGTGAGACCCTGACTCAAAATGAAAAGTAAAAAAGGGCTGGGACTGTTGCTCATTGGTTAAGTATCCCACAGTTCCTTCTGCAGTGCCCTAAAAGGGCACAGGGCAGAAAACCTCCATAAAACAAAAGAATCGACATAAAAAAACATAAGAAATATTTGTGGTCAGTGTGTTTATGACTGTAGCATGATTAAAGAGGTGGAAATTTTTAACATTCTTGTATAGATGAGTGGATAAATAAATTGTGGGATATAAATTCAATGGAATGTTATTAAGTCTTATAAAACAATGAAGCCCTGTCATATGAAACTGGACAGGTAAATCTTGAATATACGATGAAAAAAAAAGTTACATGGGATCAAATACCTCATTTTTCCATTCATATAAAGTATCTAAAATATTCAAACTCATAGAAATACAGAGTAGAGCCATGATTAACTTAACTAAAACTAAAAAAGTTCTGAAACTAAAACTTCTGAAAAGAACAAAATTAAAACTTCTGAAAAGAACAGTTCAGAGGGTTTCTTCAACAGATACCAAGTTTTAATTATGGAAACTGTTTTATTTCTATAAAATTAATAATATATTAAAATTTGTACTATAATTTTAGTTATCTTGGATTTTCATTGCATTTTAAATATTTTTCATCATTCTTCATCACCTCAGAAGCTGCAAGGGATAAGATACTGGTGTGGTCTCCTTTCCAGAGTTCTCTGTGTGTCTTTATCCACAGTGTTCAAGTAACTGTGACATTCTCAATAGCTACTGTTGGAAATACAGAGCCTGTAAGTCTAAGATTCATTATTCTCTATTTCAAATAACCATGAAAATGTGTTATCAATGAGATTTCCTTGAAATAAGCTGATATCCCTATAACTATTAAATTATGAATCTTTGGTAGCTGGGAATGCTGCCATCTAAATTTCATCCGTCAATCACTAATAAAAATGCACAATCTCCAGCACACTCAGGCACAGTCTTGATCACTGGCAGATCCAACCTTCAGAGCAACCATACATTTGACACCATTCATGTATCAGGGAAAAGTACATTCTCTTTTCTCTTATCTAAGGCTACAACCAACCCATATCCTAGGCCTTGCTCTCAAGGTCATAATTATAAAAACAAAAACAAACAAACGAAAAAAAAAAAACTTATAAAGAAGTTTGCCAAATTGTATTGCTCAATTTTCATCCTAAACTGTAGCCTGGACATACTTTTACCCCCACCTTAAGTGATTTTCTAAAACTAACCACTAATTATGTTTGTGGGCACCAAGTGGGAGTAAGCAGAGGACTTTTGTTGTTGCCTTGGAAAATATTTTGGCAGAGCCAATTATGGATCCTCTGGGTACTTGACAGGCCAAAGCTTTACTAAACCCTGCAATCTGTGGAAGTCAATTTAAACATCTCTCTAGAGTCCACAAGGAGAGAATTATTATGATGGGTCTGTGAGCCAATGACAGCAGCAGAGCCATGACCAATGAGATGGAGAATTCCTTGCTTGTGAGATCCCACTCCTTAGCTGAGTGGGTTTCTAGGGCAATAGAAAGGAAAGGAGAACTTGATTTAAGATGCAAGGAATCCCCTCTCCACATTGCTCCTAGGCTCTTAGGAAGCAAATGTTTGGTCAAATTGGGAAAACAGTGTCTAATCGCAGGATTCACTTATGTTATATTGTTGAATATAATGACTTTTCCTGATTTGGATAATTAGGCTGTGTTCCTTTTATTTTTACTTTGGATTGAATATAGTTCAAAACACCTGAAATTATTGTTTTCTGAAAAACTATATATAGAAGATTCATGTATACTTTCATAGGAAACCAAGAAAATGAGCATGAATTAAGTTCTAGAGCTATCAAAGCTTCCTAACTGAAATGGTTTGTTTTTCTGACAAAATCCAGACTGATAATGGTACCATATGAACGAAAATGTCGACATTGAAGAATGGTCTGGGGCAACAATAATTCCAGTCTCAGATCATGGAGTCCATGGAAGGCTGAGTTGAAAACTCCCAGAGGAGAAGAAAACATTGACAGAGAATTCCACTATCACCAGACCCAGGTCAGTGAAAACTAAACGTTTTTCTCCAAATTTTTAATCAAGTAACTTCATCCAGCCAACTTATTTTCTCTGAAGTTGTTTTTTGTGAACACATATTTGATTAGAAATTTGCTATTTTGCTCTGAAAAAGAAACTGGACACAAATTTTCACTGAAAATATCAGGTGAAAACATCTTCTGTAATTTTGCTAAAGCATGATGATTAAAATGACTAGAGTCACTTTTAAGACAGTGTGATAAACATTTATGTCTAAATAATTGCAATAAGTCTGTGGAGTTCTGTTTGTAAAGGCTTAACATTTCCCCTATTCATAACTTTCTTGTTGCCAAATTGAAGTTAGATTTTGTGAATTAAATCTATTAAGAAAAATTAATAATAACTGTATTTAGCACCCATAAGAGCCAAGAATAGAAAGGAAACAACTCAGGGATAAAGTTTTGCTGAAAACCAAAAACATTTGTTCACACTTTTATAGAATCTGAGAGGTCTTGAGGTTGAATTCTGTGTCCAGAAAAAATAAAAACTTTTTTTTTATGAATAATTTGGGGCAGAGATTGGAAAAAGAAGTAGAAAAAGGCTAAGAAAAAATTAAATATCTTAGGTTCTTTTGTAACAACATGGACTTAATTTTGAAAACCTATATCTAGATTATTCAAAATAAGGATTATTTTAAATTTTTTTATGTATGCAGTATTTCTACCAATTAGCCATGAAAATTACAAATTCATCTTATCTGACTGAATTTATGCTAATATAATTGTATCTTCTTATCTGACCCTAATATTTATATCTTGCCAATAGTAAATTCATGGCATTTTATTCCATTTATAAAAAGTGAGTGGGGAAATATATCTAATCCAGAGTACAACACTGTATCTATTAAAATACCAATGCAAGGACAATTTATTTGTAAAATACTGTGAACTTTCAGGGAAACATTGTACCATTTACATTCATATCCAAAGATGTGGCAAGCTGGGCATGAAATGGTGGCATAGAGACAGTCACAACAATGGATCATTCTGGTTGAGCTGTAGTAAAGAAAATTCCTTGGCATTTAGGAGAAGAAGAAGAAAAAAAAACAGTTCATATATAGCTCAATTTTATGTCCAAATGACAGAGAAAAAACAAGTCAGAAAACACAGCTGGTTTAGATTCAGAGACCCTTAGCACCTTAGTTAATTTTAATAGAATATTATGTTCATGTATCCACAGATGTCCATGAAGATAAAGAAATATAATTACAAAATAATCGTCATTGAAGATATTTGAAATCCTCCCAGCAATGAAAGAAAGCCACCTTTGAGATTTTTTAGAGAAAGAAAGAATGTTCAGAAATTAAACACAAGTCAACATTCATAATAATGCCTTGTTTTCTTGTGGTACCTATAATGTATTGAACTATTTGAAATCTAACCTCCTTCTGTTCTGTACAACCGCCCATAAAAGAGGTGAGATAAATAAAGACTAACTGCATCCATTGCAGAGGACTGGTCCAGTAAAGCAATGAAGTACTTTAACATGGAATATGAGCTATCATCCCTCAGACACATCATGTTTCTTTGTTTGTTTGTTTTTCAGATAAACTATGCCCAAACACAAGCTAAATTGACAGGAAAGATGAGCAATGTAACAGAATTCATCTTGCTGGGCCTGACCCAAAATCCACAACTGCAGAAAATCTTATTTACTGTGCTTCTACTGGCCTATTTGATCACACTGGCAGGTAATATGCTCATCTCCATCACCATCTTCATCAGCCCAGCCCTGGGCTCTCCCATGTACTTCTTTCTGTCCTGTTTGTCCATTATAGATGGTTTCTACTCTTCTTCCATAGCACCCAAAATGATCTTTGACTTGATCTCTGAAAAGAACACCATATCCTTCAGTGGCTGCATGACTCAGCTCTTTACTGAACACTTTTTTGCTGCAGCTGAGATCATCCTGTTAATGGCCATGGCCTATGACCGCTATGTGGCCATCTGTAAGCCCTTGCACTACATGACCATCATGAACCGGCAGGTGTGTGGTTTCCTGGTGGGGGCGGCTGGGATCTTGGGGTTTATTCATGGAGGGATACAGATTTTGTTTATGGCCCAGTTACCATTCTGTGGACCCAATGTCATGGATCACTTTATGTGTGATTTAATTCCTCTCCTGGAGCTGGCCTGCACAGACACCCACAGTTTGGGGCCCCTGATTGCTGCCAACAGTGGGTCACTGTGTTTGATCACCTTCTCCATGCTGGTGGCTTCCTATGTCATCATCCTGTGCTCCCTGAGGTCTCACAGCTCCGAAGGGCGCCGCAAAGCCCTGTCTACCTGTGCCTCTCATGTCACAGTTGTCATCTTATTCTTTGTACCTTGTTCATACCTGTACCTCAGACCTGTGGCCTCCTTCCCTGCTGACAAAGCTGTGACTGTGTTTTGTACCCTAGTGACACCTATGTTAAACACTTTGATCTACACCTTCAGAAATGAGGAAGTGAAAAAGGTTCTGAAGAAGCTCTGGGATCAAATGATGAAAGTTGATGAAAAATAAACCCTGTGCATAGTGCACTAAGAAGAATATTGAGTGATATTTTATAAAGCTGTATTCTCCTTGACTGATTAAAATTGGAATGGTTAATTATCTTGTCTGCATCAAAATTTTATTTGGCATATAATTGTATATATTCATGGTGTACAGTGTGATAGTTCAATACATGTATAGTATATATAACGATCAAATCAGGGTACTTAGTATTTCCATCTCCTTAAATGTTATTATTTTTTCACAAGTGCAATATTTAAAATCTTCTTTTCTAATTATGTATAAAATATACAAAATTTTGAACTACTATCACCCTCCTGGGATGTAGAATATTATAACTTATTCTTTCTAATATCTGACAAGAACTTAGGGGATTAAAATTTAGTTTGGGCTCATAGTTAGACGTTATGCTCATGGTGAGCCAAATCCAGTTTTCTGGGCCAAGATGTGGCAGGACATCCTAGTAGAAGGCATGGTGGAGGGACACTGCTTAATTCAAGGTAGCTAGGAAGCAGAGAGAGCTGGAGGAAGCGGCCACAGAGAAGACACATCCTTCCAGGGCTTGCCCTGTGACCTACCTCCTCCAGACACACCCCATCCACTTACACTTACCCCTCAGTCCATTCCTCCAAACTAGGATGGAGTGACAGCTTTCATCATCATTTCACCTCTGAATATTCCTGCATTAGCACACCAGCCTTTGGAGAATATGTCATATCTCAACAATCAGAAAGTACATTTTGCTTCTCATTATTCAACCTTCTTCTGTTCCTCCTCGTCGTCCACATACTTCCTAGACTTTCATGACCACTATTCTACTCACAACTTATCTGGGATCAACGTTTTTAGCTCATGATGGTGAGAACATATAATATTTTCCTTTTTTATTTCCCTTACATAATGTCCTCCAGTTCAATTCATGTTGCTACAAGTAACAGAATTTAATTCTTTTTATGACTGCATATTATTCCATTATATACATACACTATTACCTATGATTATGATGTGCATATACATCATATTTTATTTATCCATCCATTCATTGTTGGACACATTTAATTTTTTATTAGTACATCATACAGGGAGATATGTTGACATACTTGTCAAGACACATTGGGAACCATGTCAAGAGACCATGATACTTTAAGAAATTCCTGCATTGCTTCATTTCTTGAAAATAAGAATAAATAAAATTCAAATTCAACTTGGATTATATTCATCTTTATACCAATGCGCACACACACACACAAGGTAATATTACTGTTTAGTGGTTTCTGTTTCCATGAATGCTGACATACTAGGTGCATCATTTTTTAATTCACTTATTCTCTCAGTTTTAAACTTTTCAGACAAATCTTCAGTAGTTAGAGATGCAAACATTTAATTTTAACATAAAATCTATTTTTTATATTTTTATGAAAAGACATATGAAAGCAAAATTACCAAATATTCACTGTTGGTCTCATTGTGGTGTAGACACATATCAAGGGTGATATTCTTGATGTCTTTTCTGTTCTTTATTACACCCATATGAAGGTTTGTTTTAAAAGAGGAATAGAAACTGTGCATGAAAAGACAGTAGCACAGTAGCAAGTATCTTTAAAAGTACATTCCTCAAAATATACTTTTTTACCTTCCTGAGTTTGAGAGGTTAACAGAAGTTCCACTACAGCAATAGAAAACTTTTCACTTAACAGTCACACAAAAAGCATTTTCACAAAAATCTTTATTTTGACAATTACATCTCTACCATTCCTTCTAGTGAGCAGTTATATACAAAAGGAAGTGGGAGCAGAATTTACTGGAGCAAAAGAAATAAAACTGATGAATGTTGGAGACTTAAAGCTGAAAATATCTGAATATTGAAGTTGGGTTTTAGACACTAACAAAGGAAAAAAAATCTCTGAAAACAGCTGTTACAGGAAATTACAAGTGTTGTAAGAACAAGTAGTGTCACAGAACTGAATGATAGCATTCTCAAATCTAGATCATAGAAAAAAAAATCCTTATCATGAACATAATGAAATACTAAAAGATTTAGAAAACGTCAGATACTTTGAAGTCATCGAGTAAGATCTTTAGAAGAAGCCATAAGTCATGTATATGGCATGATAGTTTTAAATACATATAAATTATGGAAAGGATAAATTGCGCTAATAACATAAGCCAAACAAAGAAATAATTTATGTCCACAGTGTAGTTTCCATCTTTCAGGCTAGCAGAGGCTTCACCATGCTTGTCGATGAAATCAAGGTTATAACAACAGCCATAGTTGAAAATAAAGGAGTCCTGAAATGAATTTGTTGAGACAGTGATGTGAACAATGGATATTCCTCTGTTGAAATTATTTGTTTGAATTTTAACTAAATTACTTTAATATGGAAAATATCAGTTTTTTTTAATATATACCAGGAAATTCCTTGAATACCATCTACAAAGCCAGTAGTAATTTTGTAATTTTATATAGTATTTAGAATAATCTGTAAAAAGTGGAAAGACATGAGTGTGTCATTTCAAATATATTCTTCAAGAATAACATACCTTTTCTTCTTCTGTGTGCATACTGGATAGAAGCGCTATTACTCACTATTCATTAGTGAAGTAAAATTTTCTCCTTCAAACTGAAGACAAGTTTCTATGAGTAAGATTTATAGTCAGTAGCAGAAATCAGACTTTGATATTGTGTGAATGTTTCATTATTGAGGAAATTATATCCTTCAAGTTTATACAAAAATGTTGACAAAACTTTCGCAGGCAGAAAGTGGCTGATCAGGTTGTAAGATAGTTTTCATGAGTATATTTAAAAATTTAAAATATGAAGTCAGGGACTATGTCAGATCCTCAAAAGTTTTGCTTCCATCTGGAAAAGTAGAAGTCACAATGTGAAAATTCCTCAGGTAGCTTGGAAATTTCTTTCCTCTGATGACACGAGCCCAGTGTAGACCCTGAGCCTTGATTAGTAGTGGACAATCTGTGATGGCTGGAGTTCACCTCATGTAAACAGTGTGACCAGATATAATGTTCTAAGAACACCTTTTGTTTAATAAATGAAGAAAGATTTAATATAAAATATCCTTTGTACAAAGCACCTCATTACTTCCGAGTTTGTGATGTCTGGTCTTTGAAATTAGCATCTGTCAAGGAGCAATTAGTTAATGTAGCAGGGGGCTCTTGCAGTGCACTGGGGATGTAAGGGGATGGAATGACAATGATCACACACAATTACAAGATATTCTAAATAGAAAGCCAAGGGTACTTAAGGAATGTGTAAATAAGGAGCATAAGAGGAATAAAGGAATATAGAACACTGCCAGAATCTGGCTTGAGATGTAAGACCGAAGGAGGTACACTTTGATTAGTAGAGAAAAAGAAAAGATTAGAAATAAAAAGATTTATTGTGAAAATTAAAAATTTACTTTTGTAAATACCAAATGAATTTCTAATTGAAGATGTCAATTAAGTAATTGCAGACATCACTTTTGAAAGGAGGGGATTGATAGTGTGACAATAGGCAAAATCAGAGTGCTTTAAGGATTTACAGGTTAGGTAAATGAGGGATGCTTAAGTAAACCATGGAAGGAGGTATCAGTGACAGAGCAAGCTGTCTGAGACTGTGGTAAATACTGGTTCCTCATATTGTCACATAAAATAATTTTGGTTTAATCATGCCCACTGCCACCACCCCTGCAATTTTTTTTTTGTTGAGAACCTACCTGCAGGACCTCAGAAGGGGCTTTATTTGGATATGGGCTCTATTTGGATATACAGAGTTTGTAAGTGTAATCCAGTAACAATACTTTATTAAATTGGGTCTCCATCCACTAAAACATGTTTTATTGGAGTAGAAAATTTGGATTCAGGGAGAATGGCACATGAACACAAGCTAGTCATCTTTAAGTCAAGGCTGATCCTTCCCTCCTGGTCTGAGGGATCAACCACTGCCCATACCTTTATTTTGAGTGTCTGGCAGCAGGGCTCGGAGACACATTTGTGTTTAAACTAACTGTAGGTACAGCAGATGAGTGCTGCTTTTGGTATTGGGATGTGGGTGCTGCTGCAATAAATGTCCAAACTTTAAGCCAATTTGTGATTGATTAATGGATAAATTCTGGGAAATGTTTGGGAATCTTGATGAAACCAGGTTGCCTTGAAGAGATGGTGGGTAAAAATGTGAACACAGAAATGTGATGCTGGTGAGGGCTCAGCAAGGAAAGAGGAGAGCGGTGGAGATGGCATCTGTCTTAAAGAACAGAAATCATTGTGAGCACAATGTTCCTGGAAAAGTGAATGCTAAGATGCTTGGTGGTGACATTTCCAGTGAACCTGATAGCCAAAGAAAGTGGAGGAAGGACATCATTTTCTGAAGTCTCAGCACTAGCATTGATACAGTGACTTGTGTTCCATCGTCTTCCTTTAGTAATTGATTTTTTTTACTCTTACTATGAAAATTATCTTGAGTCTTTGCTGTTACACTTGTGTGACTTTATACATCATGCATCTTTTCATAGATTTCCCTTTTCATTACACCTTGTTATCTCCATGTCTTTTAAACTCATCTAAATAATAGCTTCTGAGAGGTGTTACCAAATTCCAGTTGGTTTAGAAAATGTGGCACTGTGAGTCTATTGCATAGCATCAATAAATATATTTATTAAGACACTTATCAAGTTTGTCTTTAAATGTTGAACAATTGTTATGTTTCAATCACTAAGGACAGCAAACTGTGTGTTATTTTACTTGGTAATCCAGATAGGTAGAGTTACAAAGGAGATGCCCACATATATATCAGATGAACAAAAATATATGAAACTCCTGAGGATTTATTTTATTGTTTTACAGGTAAACTGCTTTAATATCTGAAGTCAGCAGTGTTAACATTATAGATGGAACAGAGGAGCAATGTGTCTTACTTTGTCCTCTTGGGCCTCACACAGAATCCAAAGGTGCAGAAAGTACTTTTTGTTAAATTCTTGTTCTTCTATTTAATGACCCTACTGGAAAATCTACTCATTGTTTTGACTGTAACCTTGAGTAAGACTCTGGGCTCACCAATGT